GGAACACATGACACACCCGTCTACGACGGACAGGGAATGACGGTGTCAGAAGAAATGCGTGAGATCTCCAGCATTGTTCTTCTGTGGCCAGGAGGTATTGATTGCATCTCACAAACTTTTGGAGTACGGAGTCTCGCTTGGTTGCACCACATATATCGGAGGCAATGACTGGAATGCCTCTGATACTGTCTGCCAGTTGACGTTGAACGTCCTCCTTGACTTGGACAACTGCGATCACGTTGTCTTCATCACCCGTTTGGTGGGTTCCGATGAGGCGAGACAATCCATCTGCTTACCTGAAGTCTGCTGTGCCGCGGTACTGGATATCGAAATCATACCCCAGTAGTATGGTAGCCCAATGTTTCAGTCGGCTGGCGGAGTATGCTGGAATGCCTTTCTTTGACCCGGATATGGACAGTAAGTGCTTGTGGTCCGTGAGAAGTGTGAATTTTCTGCCTTACAAGAACTTATGGAACTTTTTCACGGCGAACACGATGGCCAGCGCTTCCTTCTCCACTTGTCCATAGTTTTTCTCAGCTGCCGGTAGCGTGCGAGATGCATGAGCAATCGCCTTGGCGGATCCATCTGGGAACGTATGGGAGATGACGGCTCCGACGCCAAATTGGGATGCATCGGCAGCGACTGCGATTGGTAGGCTTGGGTCGTAATGCGTAACCAGTGGTTTCGAGGCTCGCATTCGTTTAAAATTGTTGAAGGCTGCTTGGCAGGTAGGTGAACACTCCCATAGCGTATCCTGGTGGAGGAGGTTGTTGAGAGGTGCTCGCACCTCGTTCAGGGAGGACAAAAACACATTGTAATATGTGACGAGACCCAAGAAGGAGCGAGGCGACTTGGCGTCTCGAGGTTCAAGCATATCCAATATTGCGCGGATGTTTTGTGGGTTTGGGCGGCGACCGGATGCGTCAAAGATAAAACTCAGGTACTTGATGAAACGTAGGAAAAACTGGAACTTTTCGGATCGCAGCTTGAATTCGGTGGACCAAATACGCTTGAGAAGTGCTTAGAGGTGTTCCTTCAACTGCTTCGGTGATTGTCCGACGACGACAACATCGTCGAGGTAGGCAGCCGTGCCTGGGAGACCGGCTATCATGGAGTCCATGATCTTCTGGAATATAGCCTGTGCCGTCTTCACTCCAAATGGTAGTCTCGTGTACTGGTAGAGACCTCGGTGTGTGTTGATCGTTAACAGTTCTCTGGATTCAGTGCTGACTTCGATTTGGAAGTACGCGTCGGCCAGGTCGATTTTGGCGAAGTATTTGCCGCCCGAAAGGATAGTGAATGTCTTCAGGGGTAAGTAACGGATAGCAGTCCGATTGCAGTGCAGCGGTTAGCCCAGTTGGGAAATCTGCACAAATGCGTATCGAACCATTGGACGTTTCGACTACAACAATCGGGGCTGCCCATTTGGAAAATGTGACCGGGACCAGGATGCCGGAATTTTCCAAAAGCTGGAGTACCTGTTCGACCAGGGGCAATGCAGCGTATGGTACTGGACGTTTGGGTCGGAAAACCGGGGTTGCGTTTGGGAGAAGTTGCAACGATGCATGGGCACAATTGCAGAGGCCAAGGGCCTCTTAGAACACATCAGCAAAATGTGTGGCATCGTGGGGTGACATTTCGGTGCTCTCCGAAACGGACAATATGGATATGCAGACAGAATTGATGGGCGCGTTCAGTAGCCCTAATGGTTCCAGCCAATCAATGCCGATTAGGTTGAGGTGGGTTTGTGTCACAAAGCAGTCTCCGACGATGGATTTGTCATTGAAAGTGACAGTGCGGGCTACTCTACCGAGTAACGTCAGGGATCCACCGCAGGCACTGGTGGCGTATTCAGTTGTCGGATGGAGAGTAGGACGACCCAAAGACTGCCATATACGACGAGAGATGATGTTTATGTCGGATGCCGTGTCGATTTGGAGGCGGACTGGATGGTTGTTGATGTGCACAGACACAAATTGACGATGGTAAGCTGCGTCTACTTTGAACGTGGTAAGTAGGCTGCTAGTGCGGTTGCGCGATGATCGAGGACGTCGCGGCTTGAACGATGAACGCGGACTCGATCGGCGGCTTGTTTGAGGCGGGCAGAAACCATCTTTGTGACTCATTTTGCGACACTGTTGGCACCGATGTTGACGGAATGCGCAGAATCTGTGGAAATGCCAAGAGCCGCAAAAGTGGCATGGCGTCTGCGGTTTGCGCTTGTTTTTGATGCTGAAGTGGCGGGATCCCGGTGGATCCGGGGACTTGCTGAAAGATACAGTGTGCACATTCCTTGCAGGGCGCTCGGAATCCTGGACGAGGGCAGAGTCTTGCTTGAGGTTCAATATTCTCTGGCACTTGGCGGTCAACGTTCGCAAGTTGGCGTTTGGATCCTGTTCGATGGTGTTCAGCAGCCGAGT